CCTAAATTCTGTGTAATCGAAGGTTAGCTCCGCTCTCGATTTCTTGTGAGAATCGACATGGTTTTATCTTTACGATTAACAAGGAGATTTTTTGTGCGAAGAAAATCACGCACATAATAAATATCACACGTATACTAATTAATTACTTTTACTTGTTTTTATAACATAGTATTTTTCAAGTTAATAGTAAAAAAAATACTTAATTAAATATTATTTTTCACGAATTTCGTATTTTAACTATATATTATTTCCTTTATCTATCTAAATTGTTATTTCCTTTGTATTAAAATAAACCCCCGATTTATAATGGTGGTTAAATGTTTGAAATAAATAGACACGCAACAGGGGCACAAACACTTCAATTCCTAATGTAGGCATTCCACAACTAAACTACTTAGTTTCAGGAGCCTACAGACATTTAAAGAATTAAAAAAAATATTATTAATAAATTTAAAAAATGTGACATGGCATCCCATTAGGAAAGAGATAATGTTTTTTTTTTGTGTCAAGTATATTTTGAGGAAAATAGGTAAAGTTGAGTGATATTATAGTCCTAAAACAAATATAAGTGATATTACTAGGTAATTTCCCAAACATGGGTGTCTATCTAGGGTAAACATGAGTGTCTATCTAGGGAAATTACTCATATGATACTGGACAAAACTTTTAATTGAACACGACACAGAATCAATCCTTTTCCAACAAGGTCCGCACTTCAATGCCTTAATAGAAGCACATATTCCCCCTTCACTATTTTGCTTAATTAATTTACATTTTTCATCGAAAACTCTTTCTCCTAACTCCCATCACCCTTTTTATATAACAACAAAAACACATGTGTAAAGCATACACAGAATTGCTTATGCACGTAGCTCTTTCAGCCATTTGTCTTTGCGCCGTATTTGCCAAATCTTCAATACCCTTTTCACTCTTTTGGTGAGAACTGAGAAACCATGCAAAAATTCTGTATTCAAAGTATTTGATTCAGTTGAAACCCTACCATTTTCGATTTTATCGGAGCTCAGTAGAAGATTTTGATAAAAGAAGCTTAAATTATGGTGAAGGAAGCGAAAGATTCATCAGTACCCACAACCCATCGGTGTTTAATTGTGGGGAATTACTGTCACGATGTTCTGATCAAGGACGACGTCGTAATAGCGGAGTCACTGGGCGGAGCGGCGTCGTTCATCTCCGCCGTGCTTGATGGTTTGTCTGTTTCTTCCGACTACATTTCTAAAGTGGGTCCTGATTTTGTGTACTCTGTTAATCACCGCCCGATCACTTCGTCCTCTTCCAAAACCACCGTTTTCCATGCCTATTTCTCAACTGAAAGCACACGGCAAGATCGCATCTTAAAACGGGTCACTGCATGTGACCCGGTGACTCCCTCGGATCTCCCGAACTCAAAATTTGATTTTGGGTTAGCTGTAGGTGTTGGTGGAGAGATTTTGCCTGAAACCCTTGAGCGGATGATTGAGATGTGTAAGGTTGTGTTTGTTGATATCCAAGCTTTGATTCGGGTATTTGACCCGGTTGATGGAACAGTGAATCTTGTACATTTGAATCAAACCGGGTTTTGGCCTTTGTTGAATAGAATTGGGTATTTGAAAGCATCTGCGGAGGAGGCACCATTTGTGGATGTGGAGGAAGCAAGGAAATGGTGTTGTGTGGTAGTGACAAAAGGGAAAGATGGGTGTACAGTGTATTCTAAAGATGAAGAATTGTACATTGCACCTTTTCCAGCTTATCAAGTTGATCCAACAGGAGCTGGGGATAGCTTTCTTGGAGGTTTAGTTGCAGGGCTTGTTGATGGATTGACAGTACCAGATGCTGCATTGCTGGGAAACTTTTTCGGATCACTGACTGTAGGGCAAATTGGGCTTCCCAAGTTCGACTCGCGGATGGTACAGGTTGTTTAGATACTCCCATTGATTATGATTGTCATTTGTTGCTTGCCAATGTTTTAAGTGTGCCGAACTATTAATTTTGTAATGCTTGAATGCTTTTATGAGCTTCTTACGACAGATCAATCAAACTAGTTGAACTATGTGAAATGTAAGTTAGCAGATTACATACATGCATTGTTTAGTTTTCTTTCTAATTTCAATTCTACAAGTAGTAGGAAGAAAATGCATATGAAGAGATGAGCTTCTTCTTTTTTTGAAAGACCAACCAAAGAATTTCATAAAAAAAACACAGATTTCTACAATATATTCAAGTGCTGCCATAACTTCAAATACAAAAAAGTAACTTCAAATCTGCAAAAGTTTATTATGGAATATCATGATCAAAGTTCATAGTTGTTTGTGCTAAAGATGTTTGCCTAATTTTTTTTTAGTCCGGGTGAGGAAGAATGAGAGTTTTGTAACTGAACTGTCAAATTGTGGTTAATCTATCTCTGTCCCACTGCCTGAATATGCAATTTGAACTTTGCAGATAGTTCAAGTGATGTTATTGATTGAGTTACTTTTAAACACAGAGAAGTCTACTACTGTGTT